TTATAACTTTTTATATAAATTTTGAAATTTCATTATGATATTTTATGTTAGATTATAAGCTATATATATGGACCCATCTCAGGATTTCCATCTGGTTCATGGTGGGGTATTCGTATGGATTGTTCTAGGGATCGTGTTCATGATCCTTTTGATGAGAATATTCAAAATGGGCCATTTGGAGTTACTTCAATTTGTACTTCAAGTATTAATTTAAATGAAGATATAGATTTGGGTAATTCTCTCACTCTTACAGGACAAAAATATTTTATTGGAAAATTAGATGAAGATCCACTTATTAAAAATTATGAAAATCAAATACCAGTGAGATTAATCAGAAGTTATAATTTGCTCAATGAATTTGCACCTAAAACAGGTTATAGATACGATGGTTTATACATTGTAACAAAATTTTGGATAGGTATAAATTCAGATTCTGTAAAATATTATAAATTTGCTTTGTTACGTTTAAGTGATCAAGAACCACCATTGTGGATAAATCCAGTTCCTTTAGCTATAAGTAATTGTACTTCTACTTTACATTCTACATCTATATCTTTACAAAATTACTTAAAAAATTCTGCATCAAATTTATACGAATTTAAAAAATATTCTCATGGTACTGAATCTACAGTTCAAAAAGAGAAACATGAAAATTCATTTGGATTTTCACAATCTCAAAATATTGAAAATAAAAGAGTAAATGAAAGAAGAAAAAATATAACTAAAAGTGCAATAGTAACTCGTCATGTATTTAAAAAATTAAATACAGAATATACATCAAATGTACCATGTATACCTACTATGTCAAAAAAGTCACTAAGTCATATTGAAAACAAAGGATCTAAAACTCGTAATACAAATATTTCTATACGTACAGGATTATATAATTCGTCTCATAATATACGAAATGATAATAAGAAAAATACTTCGTCACTATTTCGTAGAACTAAATCACTCAATGTTCACAAAACTAATCAACACATAGAAAATTGGAATTTATCTAACAAAGATAAAAATAAAAGTTTTGATGGAAAAACTCAAACGATCACGACAAATGAATTTTCTAAACGTATTAATTATATTTCGTTTAATTCAGTAAAACCAGATTCAATAAAAATAAAATTTGCTAAAAGTACTAATACAAAAATGAATAATGATACAAATAATACAAATCCAAATTCTTATCATAGATTTGAATGCAATGTTACATCTAAAGAAATAAGTAATGATAATGATTTTAAAGATTTATGTAACAGTACTATAAATTCATCCGATACAACTAATATGTTGAATATAACAAATTGTATGTATAAAAATGAAATTTCAGCATATAAGATGATGTCAAAAGAATTACAGGAATTGAAATCAATTGATTCTTTAGATTCCTTGACACCAGATAAAATCCTTTATTTAATTAATAATAAAAATCATCCTTTGTCAAAATTATTAATGGGTAATATGATAGGAATAACTTCAGAACAATCTATAGCATTACAAGCAGGAAATACAATGACAATCAAATCAGAAATCAAAGATAAAATAGGAACACAAAAAAGTAACAAAGAAGAAATAAAAAGTAAAACTAAATTTGAAATTACTTCAGATGATTTAAGTGAATCAAGATATTACAAATTTAGAAGATGTAGAAAACTATCTAGAAGAATAAAAAGTAAATCAGAAATGATAAAATATAATAAGTTACATAGTGAAAAATTTGAAAAAGAATCTATACAATCTTCAGATATTTTACAATATTCGAGAAAAAATAAAAGAAATATAGATATTTGTAAAGATTTAAAAAATAAAAATATGGATTGTCTATCAGATTCAAAAAGATACATTAAAAAAAATGCTGAAAATTCAATAAAAACAATGCATTTACAAACTGTAAGAACAATCGATTCATCAATAAAAAAACATATAAATAAAAAACAAAGAAGAGAAATTACAAATTTATTAATAGATGCAAAAATTGGACCTAAAATACGTGGTCCACGATACAGAAGATTACGATGTATTAATAATGCATATACAAAACAATCATATGATCATTTTGATGCTACAATATATAAATTAAATAAATGTAAAGTTAAAACAAAACGATCTACTAACCAAAGCAGAAATAAACTTACAAAAATAACTCGTTGTAAACGTGTTAAAACTAATCAAACTAGAAATATTAAAAGATCAGATACTTTAAATATAAAGCGCCAAAAAAATAAAAATCTTAATGTTTCTAATAAAATAAATGATGCAAAAAAAACTATAATTAATAATAATAATATAAACGAAAATGATATTGATAATATCAATAATAAAAAATCAGAACATATAGAAAAAAATATTAAAATTATAGAAAGTAAAAATATAACAACTATTAAAAATCGAAAAAGAAAATTAATAGATACAATTCATAGAGATTCGAAATGTAATAAAATTGATGAAAAATTGCGAAATTGTTATGAAAAAAAAATTTCAAAATCCTACAAAACAGATGCTGTTACTCAATGCTCTCTTCTTAAAGAACCATTAAAAAAAAATTTAAAATCAAATAATATCTTACAAAATAATGTTCATAATGAACAATATACTTTTATTAAAATAGAATATGGTGATTTTAAAGATACAAAATATGAAATGAATGAAACTATGAAATCTGATGCAAGTAATAATTATTCAATATCTCGGTCTGATAAAAAATTTGTATCTTGTACAGGTTTATATAATCTAAAGCATCCTGTGAATGCAAATATATCATTAAAAAGTAATATTTTGAATATAAGAGGACAAAATAAATGTTCACTTGAAAAAGTATCTGCGTTTGTACCTGTTAATATCCCAGATAATGATACAAAAATTGCTCGCTTAAGATCAATTGGATTTAAACCAATTAATTTCAGTATAGAAGATAATAATAACAAAGGTCAAAATAAAAAAGTATTAAAACAAAATGTTGCTGAAAAATACAATAAATATACAAATGAAGAAAATGATGTTGTTGTTTATATGGATGATAAATTACAATATCAAGATATTGAGGATGAGGATAAAAATTCCTTATCTATTAGAGAAAAAATTTTAAATTCAAAGATATATACTGAACAATTAAATAAAATGAATTTAGAAGAAGAATCTTGTAATTCATTATTAGAACAAGATATAGAATCACCTTGGCATGGATGGAAAAAAATTGTAACAAATAAAGATACATATTGGATAGGTTGGTAAAAATATATTATTATAATATATTATAATTATAATAAATTATAATAAATATTAGTAATATAATAAATATTATACTATTTTATATACACATATGTGTACAAATTTTTTGCCAAAAAAAGGCTGTTAACAAATGCTAAGTTATTTTTACACTAATAATTGTAATATTTCAATGCATTAATGTAATTATTCTATATGCTTTTGTAGGTCAATTAGATTTGATCTTATATTTGATTAATCTATGTTTAAATCAATTTAATTAATTTCATGATCTTTTTTGATCAATAGATCATTAGTAAAAATAAAAACTAATATAAGTAATATTAATTGTTAAGTGTACAAAATGATTTATTCTAACAAATTATTGTTATTTTGTGAAACAGAATAATATACTCTTTCCATAAAAATTTATGTATACATAATTCATTCTATTGTATAGAGAAAATAAAGTTTAATTAAGATTTAGATTAATATCCATTGTCATTTTTTTAAATACCTAAGTAAATATAATAATATAGAAGAAATATTAATAATATATAATATATAAGAAATATTAATATATAAAAAATATTAAATACAAAATATTCATATCTATAATATAA